CAAGTCAAGTATCATATCAGAATCCAGGTCATGTATCAGATCAGAATCCATGTCAATATCAGATCAGAATCCAGGTCAGGATCATAATAGAATTCAAGTCGGAAATCAGATAAATATTTATATGATTAGGGAACACACCAGAGTTTACAGATATTATTCAGAGGTATTGGATAATCTTAACAGGTAGAGAAACATGAATATTCAGTATACCGATAGGATATCGGAATTTAGAATCACTATTTGAAATAGTTCATTAACTGACAGAATCATCAGTTATTCAGAATGTGAATTATCAGGATATTATCTTATTCGGACAGTTTTCAGAAGTTGTACGTAATCAGAAGGGTATTCAGAATCCTTTACATCCATGTCGATTGATCGGATAATCGAACAACTTGAGAACGAAGATTCAGAACCTTAACAATCTATATCGACTGGTCAATTCATTTTCTTCTAGGGTATTTACTCTTTAATACCACAAATTCTTGTCCGTATACCATTTCGGAATTATCGCTGAATAAATCTTCCAATGACTTATTTTATTTCCACACTTCCACACTATCATGAAATGTTGACGTACTTGATTAATTTGTTCATAACCCATTGTAATTGTACACTACGTAAATCATCAGAGTTTCCAGACTTATCCAAATCACTTACTAAATCCTCAGTCATTGAGGTTACCTATTTCATTAGCAGTCATCTCCATTCCAGTTACTTCAGAATTTTCCAGAGTAATTCAAACGTTCCTGAATTTCAGATACATGTTGTACTTCCATCCCATTCAATTTGGTCTTCGTGGTTGATTGTTGAACAAACGTCCAATTCTTAGTACTGAATACGATCTAGATCTGAGCTGAACTGAATACTTCCAAGATTCGTCATCGAGCCAAACTTGAGAAGACGAACATATGTTCCAGTAATATCTATGCCATTCAGGTATTGACATAGCTTTAGGTTTGATCTACTCACTTAAATTATTTTCCATTACCTTTAAAGGTAGTCCAATACCTATGCTTACTTGGATTCCTTAATTAATCCAAGACATTTACTTAATTTAGGCCATAAGGGTATTTTGGTAATTTTGATGTTTAGTTTTGTTCCATTCATTTCAGAACTCGAGGATATTCAATCATTCCTGAGCTTGGTGATATTCTTGGGTCATTTCCATTACAGGGGTATTTTGGTCATTTTACAGATCTACGGTATTTCAATCTTTTCCTTCCATCCGATCTTATTATTTAATTCAATCTTATCATTTACTTCAGTCCTTTCGAACAATTCTGACAGCAGAATACCCCGATAAATTACTCTTCCAGTATTTACTCATTATTCGAATATTTTCAGGTCAAGTGTCTTCTCAGACTTTACAAACGGAATATCATAAATTTTCATGCACTAAGTCGGGATCTTAACAATTAAATCCGTACTTAATCGAGTTAAGTATGAATCCTCTAAGTATTTTCTCATTCAGAGTCATCTCAGACTATTCTACCTCTTAAGGCATTTCCGTAATTTCTTAACCAGATAAGTTCGATATTAGCTCTTAACGAAAATAATATAATTTAGAGATCCTATGATTAATTGCTTTCTTGAACAATCTCTGATCTTGAAATAATTCCCTTAACACACTTCTAGTATCTTGCATAAACCTTCTTGGGGTTAAAAACCGGTTCTCCATAATTTCCAAGTAAAACTAACATTTCTTATGCACATCAATAGTTTTAGCAGATCAATAATTCTTATCAGATTTATTAATCCACTTCCAGAGACAATTCTTATCATTTTCCAACATAAGGGTAATTTCGTAATTTCCCCTAATCGAAATATTATCTTAATTTATCATCTAAGTACCTTTAATGAGATAAATTATAATCTACAATCCATGGTTAATTCTTTTATTACTTAATTCCGGAACTTGTAATTTAATTCAAACCGTCCTCCAATTTCTTATAATAGTCATCTGAGCCATATTCAGTTATCTACTTTCTACCGTATTCGTACCTAGTGTAGATCTTCATTAATTACACATATGAGACCAAACATTTCCATTCATGCATTTATCAATACCAACATGTTCCATAAAGCATAAAGAGGTAGTAAAGTATTACCTCGATTTCCGTGCAATACTGATCGACCATAAAAATTCCATTCGAACGCCTTTGATCTTCAATTCAACTTCCAATAATTTCTCAGATACATATCAACATAAATTATATCAGAAACGAAGCTTAATTACGATAAACGGATCGAATTGGGTGATAAATCAGTGAAAGACGGCTTACCGGGTTCGAATTTGGAGAAACGGACTTCGGATTCGGATTCAAGACGTCGAAAGCATAAAATATGACTTTTCGGAAATTTGGAATTTTCGGTCAAAATCAAAGTCAACGGGTTTGACCGGTAATTTCGAGGCCTTCGGGTTCGAATTTCGAAAAACGGACAGTGGAATCGGATTTGGAACGTCGAAAAATGTCAGGATAGGTATACTCGGTCGAAGTCAAAGGTCGTTTAATGCTCGATCAAAGCCGGTCAAAGTTTGGTCAACGGGTCAACGGTCAACGGTCAACGGGTCAACGGTCAACGGGTCGGGTCGGGTCGGGTTATGACCGGTCAAACCGGTCAACTATCCACTAAAACCGGTCAAACCGGTCACTTTTGTCTTCCCCACGCTCAGTGGCGGCGCGTGGCGGCGCGTGAACAGTGATAAAATCCCGGAAAAATTTCTAAAAATTATTTTGAGCGATTTCGAGATACTTACAAAGCTCGGTTCACAATTTTGAACGGCGGAAAGCTCGATTTCAACAAATCGGAAACTTTAACCGCTTCACCTCCACACGCGCCGCCGCCGCCGGAGAAAAGGGAGGACACCGGTGGACTCGGAACGGCACAAGGAACACGATGGTGCGGGAGGTGTCGTAAACGGATGACCCGATCGTTGTGAATCGATGAAAAACCAACTAAAACCGAGTTATTACCGACGATACTTCCGACTGAAATTAACGTCGAACGGAGATGATTCACGACGAAAGGTTTGAGGGGTTTTGTTCCTCGGTTGACAACGAACACGATGGTGGTTTCGGCTCGTCGTTTGGAGGTCGGACGACGAGTAGATCGGAGTTGAAAGTTGGGTTGTTGGAGAGGGGAAAACTGGAAAATATGCATCTGCGCATGGGGAGAAGAGATTTATAATTCAACATATATAAACAATGGGTAAACCAAGAGTTTAGCCACTGAACTTTATGCACTTCATAAAACGATCTGCCAACTTTGAAATCTTATAATTTAATACCCGATTCCTTCCAAAAATACCAATTAAATTCATCACTTTATAATTTCTTAAATTTAGCCCCTAAATTGGGGTGTTACACTAATAATGATTCTTTTTGTAAATTCAAAATAGTTAAGGTAGGATATCAAAAAAAATCATATGTTTTTTAACCCAGTCCCATCTTCTCCGTCGCTTCCCCTACTTCCCCAGCGAAGCAATATCGTTTTCTGATTAGTGATTAGTCATTTATCTAAAGTTTAAGGGTTCAAATAAAAATTAAACTTTTTTACTAACGTGCCACATCAGCTAACTCACGTTAGTTAACGTTCCAATGACCACATCTTAATTAAAACGAAACGAAAATAATCATATATTATGTTTTTTGGATCGAGCTCCATATGTTTATAAAATTGAAACAAAAGTGACAAACTTTGTAATTTACCCTATTTTTTTATTTGTCCGTACTTTTCAGAATTAGGATTATATTAATATAAAATTTTAAAGACAAAAACTTTTTAAATTCATAATTAAATTGATTAATATCAAACATTAAGAGCAAAATGTATTATTATATAAGCATTTCCGGCGGTAAAATAATTATTATGTTTCTTTGAAATTTTAAGTTCGAACGTTAATACCATCAAAGGATGTGAGCTTTTAATATCAGATGGTGAATAGTTATTTCTCTGAGATCTTAAATTCGAGCACTAATAACATCAAGGGGTGTAAACCTTTAATGTCAGATGGTGAAAAGTTATGAATAGTTATTATCGTGTACTTATCTCATATTAATATAAAATTAGAAAATGATAAATTTAAAAACATATATTTATAACTTTTCATAGTTTAATGATGATATAGGCATAATTTTTTTAAGTGAAGTGTTTATGACCAGTGTATGTATGTGATGGGCTTAGTAAAGGGGAAACAAGCCTTCAATGTCTAACTCTTGGCCTCTGGCTACACAGAAGGCAGGTCGAAGACTATACGAGTCCATCCTCATGAACTTTGGTTGGACCCTTCTCTACCTAAGCTAGCCTTTGAATTTTCGGGATATGGCTGAAACGCTAAGCAATGTCTTCGTCTTTCCCGCCCGTTGATGATTAAATAAATATATATTCATACTGTATTAATTAAATATTCTTTGCTTTGATCTCGACTTTCAGAATCCAGCTGTATACTAATTTTTTTGTTATTTAATTCAATTCAAAACTCAAGCATTTGAAGAATATTATTTTATCGATTTTCGTAGGGTAGGTTGACATGTTATTTCTATCATTATCCTTGAGAAGTCATACACAATATATTACTCAAAATTGACAGTCATGGTTTTTATTTATTTTTCCATCCTACATGCGTTTTATCGTAAAAATAATAACCAATAGATTTACAATTTAAAATTTAACATTTCCAATGAATTTTTATTTTATATAATAAATAATAATAATAATTTGGCCTATGATTGATTGATCACGATTAATGTCAAAGAATACAAGTCCTAATTCAATGTTAATGTAAAAGCTTTTAATGCTAGCCACACATACCCCAACGCCCAGCAACAGGCACGTGATCGTTTTAACCAAAGCTGAACTATGTAAGTTTTCAAATTCATATATAGTTTTAGCGCGCATCTACACTGAATTGTATATTAAATTTACGATTACCTATAATCACTCGGCGTTTAGCTCACTCCAAACCATCCGTAAAGTTACATTTTAAGATCATGGGATTCTCCGAAGAAAATAAAATTATTTTTATTAACACATTTAGTCCCTTGGATCTCGTACAAATAACACATACAATTAAAAATGTAAGATATACCATTTTTTATAAACGTGTCGATCAGATTTATACAAATCCTCTTTGTCCTTGTTTCATGATCCACAAGAAACACACGAACCTATAAACGCCAAAGTGGCCGGCGATTCTTTGCCCGCCAAAATAGGATCGGTTCAATGACTCCGCCCACCGTGGCTTTAACTTGATGTAACACTACTCGAACTTCCGCTGCCATGGAGCAAATCCGACCAGAAATTTCCCAAATCATCAGGTGTATATCTGACAAATGACTCAACCCAGATTTCTTTCTTCAGGTGCATTCCTCCGTACGCCTCGTAAAACTCCTTGTAGATGGGTACTATCTGCCTAGCCAAAGATATTTTGATATCGTCTCGCAGTCCCGGGTCGGGTACGACCCAAGATGTTTGTTTCGTGTAAGCTTCTTCAAAAGCCGAATTAAATTTTCTGAAATGCTCTTTCACTTCATCGACTGGGATCTCGGCCGTCGGATTTTCCGGCAGTGATGCAAGCACTTTGCTCCATCCCATTCTCACGTAATTCGAAGCGTACTGTTTCACTTTCACTTCGTGCTTCGTCACCCACTCGTCACCCAAAAGAATCTTCAAATTCGAATGTCGGACTTTTCCGACGACGTAATGGAGATTGTTTGCCAAAAACAAATAAGAAAGCGACACGTCTTTGTACATCGTGGCATGCCCGTCGAGTTTACAGAGCATGAGGAGGACAAGCCAAGCTAACCGGACTGAAACCGACGATGAAATGCTCTCCTCATTGTCTGTGCTGCTGAAGAGTGGCTCTGGTAAAGGTGACGGAATCGTTAACGGCCAATCTGCGACGATATCGGAGAGAACCTCGCTGTAATCGGCAAGGAAAGAGAGGTAATTCATGACGTAACGTGTGAGAGGGTGGATCCCTCCGCCTGGAACAGTCGATTTGGATGTATCCTTTTGAATCGCCGTTTCGAAGCTCGATAACATCGTTCTAACGGCGTCACCTAGCTTGATTAAGGAGTTAGTGGCGGTTGATCGGACGGTTGATGCTGATTCACAGCTGAACATTAATGCAATCTCGGGCCAATTATTGGAAACCGCTTCATATAAATCCAAGAAGCGGAACATCTTCTCGGGACTTTTCTTGCACTTGGCAACATTTTCCGGGAACTCAAACAGAGCCAAGGCTCCACCTTTTGAAATTTCCGTAAAGCAAGATTCCCCCATAGCAAGCGCAATTGAGAACACTTGATCGCTGAGAATCCTCTCTCCGGGAAACAACGTTTTAACGACCGTTTTAACAGCGTGTAACCAATTCTTGATTTTAGCCTCCAAAACTTCCCAATCCATCTTCTGAATCTTCTGCGAGTTCAACGTGCTGTCAACTCCGAGACTGTGAAGAGCTTCATCGACGAACGATTTCCGAATAATTTTATAAACTCTGATACACTCCTTAGCGTACCCAGCTTTTATCATGACCTCCGTGATGCCTCTTAAATCTTCTATTGCAGCTAACGATACTCGCTGGGTTTCTGGGATTGAGTCAGTCTCGTCCTTTGACTCGTTCTCAGACTCATATTCTTCGAAATCTGAAAAGCTAGACCTGGAAGCCGATGGTCTAGAGGATGAGTGAGCAGAAAAGGATTCTGGGTCAAGAAAAAACCGATTAGACTTCAAAATCAGGTAAAACTCCTTCTCGAGCCGTTTCATGGCGGTTTCCATCAGTTCTTGAGCTCGAACAAGCTTCTCAGAACTCGGTTGATGTGAAAGCAAGAACTGCATAGCTTTTTGCAGACCCTTAACGGAAGACAAATACTGTTTCGCTTCTTCCCTACTATTGGAGAAAAGAGAAGCCGTGTTACTGACGGAGTCGTAGTCGTCGGACAAGGAATCCCATTTAGTGATGATGAACTCGGCAGCTTCAATATTTTCTTCCATTAGTGACTCGGAAAAAGTAGGGGCAAGTGGAGAAGCAGGTGGAGTCATCCTGGTGGGAGAAGGTGCTGATTTCAAGATGGTCCTCATTCCTTCTAAACAAGCTGAATCAATGGAGTTTGATAATCACACAAGGGAACAGAAAGCAAAGAACTATGTGGGAATCGAATGTTTGGGATATTTTGGGGGAAATATACAGGAAAAGCCGTAGGAAGGAAACTAGGAAAATGCCAAGATATGGGGGAGAAATGGCGATTTCAACCCTGCAAGGGGGGAATCAGAAGGTTAAGAGAGCTGATAAGACGGCGAAGAGGTAAGCATTGAACGCGGTGTTGAAAATAACAAGTTCGTTTTTGGACTGCTTGCTTTTCTGTGTCAACAGATAATTTTAGGGCGCGTTTGGATAACAGAATGTAAGATTATTAGTAAGGATAAAAAATTATTATTGAAGAAAATTATTAGAAATGTTATATTTTGTGTTTTGTTGATTTAGCAGGAATGTAAGATTATCGTGTTTGGTTAAATGAATAAAATATTATTAGAATATATATTTGACCAAATTATCTTTATTATATATTTGATTTTTAACAAGTTAGAAAATATTTATATATTTTCTTTAAAAAATTTAAATTCATAAAATTTATATAATTTTTTTTACAAAATCAAAAATATAAAAATGTTTAATAAAAGGGTAAAATTTTAATTTATTCCTGAACTGCATATAAAATTCTAATTATATTTTTTTATAAATCGAAAATAGTTTAAGGATAAATTTGTAATTTAACATTCGTAGAATTTTTATTATTTAATGACAGAATAATGATATTTTTGAAAGAAACAAAATTAAGGACATTTTAATCAAAAACGCCGGTAATCCAACAATAACTAAGGAAAGAGAGGTAATGACATTCATGGTAATATACCCAAAAAAATCTACTATTGATAATTTAAGATTAACGAGAATAACATTCTCGACTAACCAAACAGCACATTCCCCTTAAGAGGCTGATAAATGACCCCTCCTTGATCAAGAGATTCAAGACAGTTTTTGTTGAAAATAATATATTTAAAGAAAAATTACATAAAATATTTTTAGATTACTTAAACATTTAATTATTACATAAAAAGTTTGTTTGTTTCACGTAAAATAATTTTAAAAAAATATTTTTCTCACTTTCTAGTATTTGGTTAGAAAAAAATCGATTGATCAATGTAAAATATTTTTTTGATTAACAAATTTTTCTTTGTAATTTTTAAAAAATGACTTACGTTCTGATTTTCCGTAAATCATTTTTTAAACTTTTCATTTCAAATAATAAATACTCAAAATAATTTTATTTATGTATAATATTGATATATATTTTCATATCACTTTAATTAAAATATTAATTATTAAAATATATTTATTAATATTTATAATAATGTAATATTATATTTTTTTATTAGAATAATATACTCAATTATATTATAATAATATAAGATTTTTATTTTATTTTATTAATATATAATAAATTATTAATAAAATTTATATTATTTATTAATTTCATAGAAATAATTTTATTAAATTATTTATAAAATAGTATTATTTATGTATTTAATTTTAATAAAATAATATTTAATAAATATATTTAAAATATATTAATTAATACTCTTTAAAATATAATATAATACTACTACTTTAATAAATAAATAAATAATATATTTTATAATATTTTATTTCAATAGATTGTATTAATCTTAATATTTTTATTAATAAAACTATAGAAACAACATTTTAATAATAAAAAATTATTCTAATAGTTTAAAAATAATAATATTATTTTTTATGATAAATAATATTTTTTTGTATTTAATATTTTTAATAAATAATTTCTAAAAAATTCATCAACTAGTGGAAAATGATTTACACAATCTTTTTCAAATAACGTAAAACGTTCTTCAGAAAATATTTTTCAGAAAATGTAATTCATTTTACAGAAAACATTTTTCGAAAAATATTTTCAATGAAACAACGGACCCAAAATGTTATCACATTTGCAACAATTTGTAAAATGGGTAAAGTTAAAAATGTTAATTAAACTAATTTAGAATGATGATTTTAAATATTAAAATTTTAAGATTTAATATAAAAAAGTGTTCAATTTATACGCTTTAATATTTTCGGTGTTGGGGTTTTGACAAATCAATAACTTTGGGTTTCAATATTTAATTTTAAGTATTTATCTCATCAGAAAGATTTTACGTTACTTTTTTGAAATATCAAAACTAAATAAATATTCAAAAATTACAAAATATCAATTAATTATACGCGTAGTTATATGTACCTATAATTCATGTACATATAAGATCTGGCTAAACATTCGAAAGTCGTTAATATACAAATTAATTTATCACAGTAATTAAAGAAATTATTATTATTCTATCGAAACGGCTTTGAACAAATGATTATAAAAAATTTGAGCGTTTTTCTGTTTTGCATGACAGAAAGAAAGGCAAAAGGGGTTGTTTTTACTTGAAGGTTTCATTTTCATTTAGGGGCCTACAGCAATCAATTAAAAGTGTTTTTTTTAATTAAGAAGCTTCAATTCGATAAGTGTAGGATGAGCCAATAGTTGCAGAGTTCAGATTTCAAGCTAGGAAGACTTCTCATCTTTGACTGTTTCAATACGTAACTATTAACAATAAATGTATACATTTTACGTATATAATTACTTCCATATAAAATTATTAGAAACAATTATCACCAAATCATTTAATTAAGTTTGTTACTTTTTAATATAATATTATTATTTACATAAATATGTTTAAAATAATGATTTGTATTTATTACAATATTTAATTATAACAGATTAACTAAACATCAATCTAAATGAAAATGATAAAAATTGTTCTTTTTATAGACACTACTTTCTCTTATCAAATATTTCGATTTTTTATCATATTTAAATGTCAGTAAAAGTTAAATTTTAACATTTATATTTTTGGGTTATACACAAATGGTCCACCGACTATAGGATATTGCTTTATTAAGTCCCTCAACTATTAAAAGTTACAAGATGATCCTTCGACTATAGAAAGTTATTTTTGTTAAGTCATTCGACTATTATAAGTTATAGAATTGTCACCTGACTATTTATTATGTTCCGAACTCATCCTTTTGGGTTATAAATTGACGGTTATCTAAGCTGGACGTTAACATGATAATTGAGATATGATAGTTGTTTGAGATTCTGTAATCATATTTTATCATATCACAGTTAGTAAGTTAATGTTCACCTCATAATACTATCAAATTTTTAACAAAAAATGACGAGTTTGTAATATAATGAATAGTTGTGTGACTATTTTGTAACTTTTAATAGTCGAGGGACTCAACAAAGCAACACTCTATGGTCGAAGGACCATTTTATAACTTTTAATAGACAATAAACTTAATAAAATAATAGTCAGAGAACCATAATAATGGCTTTAGGACTTAAAGAACAATAATATATACATTGAAACATAGGTTTCCAAATATAGCCTCTTATTTTCATTTCATCAATTTCTTCTTTCTTTGGGTACACTGATTCTATCCAAATTTTCGAATAAATAATGGCCAGCTATGGTTTACGAAGAAGAAAATGACAGAAAAAACACACTACGCGTTGCGGTTGTTTTAATTGTTTTTCAAGATATTCATTTTCGATAATGATTTTAGATTATTTTTGGACCCTTTATATATATATTCCGACAACCATTAATGTATGTTTAATTTCTTTGGAAAAAAAAACAATATAATGAATCAATTATGTGACAACGATCAACATACTCGTATTGGTGATTAAAATTTTAATATATTTTAATTACTTATATAATTTATAAAAGTAAAATAAAAGAATTGATTTAAAATATTTAAACGATTTATAAAATATAAATTTAAAAATTATATTTATCAAATTAAACTTAAATTTTTATTAATTATTTATAATGTAACTATACTTTTTTTAAATTTAATGTTTCATCTTTATTAATGTTTAGAGAATGTGACATAAAAAAGGTCACGATCAAAAGTGTTAACATGTTATTATATATTATATGACAACAACAAATTAATTTAAATCATAAAAATCTCATTTAATTTCTTTAATAATTTATTGAATTATATTAACAATTAGTTAGTCTAACTAAAATTCTTAAATATAATTAAGAGTTTGAATTCTTATATTTGCAAATGAAGTAAATTAGATTAAGAAAATTACCCTTATATCTAGTCTCTATAGTATTTGATTCAAATAAATTGATTAATAAATTAAAAATTAATTATTATTCTAAAAAATAAATTATTAATTTTTATTAAAAATTTGCAACCAATAATATATTTGTTTTCTCGTTATTTTCTTTTGACAAATTGTTTTCTCGTCTTGTTAAATAAATACAATTTGAGGTAAAAACAAAATCAGATATACTAAAATTTGAAATGTGAGCGTAGATAAGCATATGGACCAACGCAATAAACTTCAATGTACTTTACACGGTAGGTTGGGAGGGCAAAACTTTCGAGATAATATTCTGAAAGAAATTAATTCACGAGCTAATGCACTCTAAAGATTAATTGCTCAAATAGGGTGAAATCTACAGTGTTGGTCGTAGGTCGCCATGCACTCCAGGCGACTTACCCTTGCTCAAACAAAGAGAATGAACGTGTTGCATGGCACATGCACGTCCCAACACATAGGTCGCCATGCCCTAAGGGCGCCATGCACTCCGGGCGACCTACCCTCGCTCGGCTGCCCTCGGATTCCCTCGCATAGCTCGCTCGGTTGCCCTTGGATAGCTCGTTCGGATGGTCTCGGTCGGATAGCCTTAGATGCTCTCGGATGGCGTCGGTCGGATGGCCTCGAATGCCCAGCGTGTTGGGAGGTGCATGGCACATGCAATCTCTTGTAGCTCGCCGGAAGGCATGGCGACCTACAACCAACACTGTGGATTTCACCCTATTTGAGCAATTAATCTTGGGAGTGCTTTATCTCGTGAATTAATTTTTCCAGAACATTATCTCGAAAGTTTTGCCAGGTTGGGAGTGGAAGATTTTTCTTTTTAAATTAAAACAAAAAATAATCAAATTGGGTGACCGAAAATTGAATGATCCTTCGTGTAGTTGTTAGAGAATGACATGAATGATCATAACCCCACCACCTTGTTTTGTCTTGGCACAACCATTGGGCTCAACTTAGCCCGATTTCTTTTTGAACTTGAAAGCTTGGATTAAATATTTGAGAAAACAAAATGAAA